AAATTCACAGTACTTAACCTCCTTAACACACAACTCAATATTTGATGAGGGAAAATTAATAAAAATATCCACACTTTCAAAGCAATATATAAAGTCTTTAACAATAATGGCAAAATAAAGGATTTTAATGGCATTTACAATTGGAGATATGTATTTTAATTGAAATTCTACCAAAAGTGACTTAACCTTTTGAACAAAAGAATATTTAATACCAAAACTGATCAAAGACTCTATTAATGAAACAAAAGTAAGATGTTCAACTTCACATACATACTTAACATCTAAATTCGTATGAAGAAGATATTAAACATTGATTATGAGAATGAAAAGTTAAAGTACTAAAAGAAGGAAATACTATAAATGAGAAAAAAAAACTCTACAAAATTGTTTAAACTAAAAAAAAATGTTAAAAAAGAGTAAAAGGTAAAGAGAAAATATTAAATGGCAATTTGAAAGATTGACAGTTACCCTTCAAAATCTCCACTTGTCTCTAAAGCTATCTTCATAGTAATTAAACTCTCTATCAAAATTTAAAATCCATTTAAGCTTGTATATATTATTTTCCCATAAACTTGATCTTTAAATATTCTTCAAGAACTAAATTGCATCATTTATAGCTCTCCAATCAATATTACAATCATACTACATTTTAGTAAATGATAGCAAAACATCAAAAATAAGAGAAGCCATATAATTATGTCTCATGAAAGTTTGAAATCATTAAAGTTGAGTACAATACTAATATGATTATGCCCATTGCACTAAAAGTTTGATCTAATGGAGTAGCATTAATACCTTTATAATGTATATGATCATGGCATGGCATTTGAATAAACTATCATCACAAATCTTTAGAATCTTGGGAATAAAATAACCACTAAAAGTTTTTTTTATCAAGTCTAATTAGTTTAAAGGGAGAGAAATAAATTGCACTATATATGGTATTAAAACAAATGGCATAGGTTTGATTTCCATCAATTAAAGACTATTTAAAATATATATTGATCTAATCCCTTTTTCATAAATTTTAGTGTGTCCAATTTAATCTTGGTGTTTTGACAAGACGTTATCTTTAACAATTAATCACTAAATTGATCCACGGTCACAACCAAAGCTAAAGATAATAATGTAAATGAAAGGAGGTTGGTTTGAAAACTTGCTATCATATATTACAAGTTTATAAAAACCTATTACATTTTAATTTTTCTTGGATAGGAATATACCTTACTCAAAATTATATTATGATGATATATTTAGAATATATTTTATTCATTCTAACATATTTTATAGTTAAAATTATACATATATGACATCTATATATATGTGTGTGTATAGTATGGATATGGAATATAGAAATGGAATAAAAAATATGTATATTCAATTAGCCCTAAAACCTTAGCTTATATATAGGAGTGAGTGGTCCAAATTAAAAATAATCGAATACCTATCAAAATCCCACTATAGTAATATTAATGTATAGCATTATAACCATACATTTGGACCTCACATCATCCCTTCATCTCAAAAAGATAGAAGGCAATCAAAGTTTTCTAGTTGAAAGGCTAGGAATTATAAGAACATTAAAAGGAAGCATTAGTGAGTTTATAGATGGTATTAATTGTTCTTAATCCTTTTGTACAAAGCACTTTAGCCACTACACATGCTTAATTTCTTAAAGATTAGCCTATTGAAATTATGCCAGACCTCATAAACTTGCTCCACTAAGTCATATAATTTATACTCCACTAGTGGATAATAATGGGAATTATAATGTTATTGTTGCCCTATTTGTATGCGGTCCAAATTTTCAATAAACTCTACTTAAATTAGTGGAAGATTGTTCATCAAATACTTGTAACCTCATGGAATTGAACTTCCTAGCCTAGTACTATTCAAACCCTAGGACACTTAACCCTAAATATTCTAAGACCCTTTACTGATTAAAAAAAGAAATGCACTTTTATTCATAGATCTTTTCTCTTTATATTTAAACCCTTTGGATTGTTTATCATGTTGTTCTCTTTAATTGCTTACAATATTAATCCCAAGACATAGCATTAATAGTTTGTGGCAATCACAAAGAAAAACTCAATTTCATTGGCAATATCAGATCATGATTATGTAATAATTTATATGGTGAAACATCAATGAAACTCGATGCCCTATGACATATACATACCAAAAAAATTATAAATAATCATCATAATCTAAATGTTAAAAATTCACATATTTCACGATCATTCTTTTGAAGGTTTGACAAACTATTCCACTAAACCATCCATCTGTGTAGATAAACACTTGTAACAGTGTGGTATATCTCTAACTAAGATATTAAAATATGAAATGCCTCAATTATAAATGTAGGATCATTATCTGTAAGAATCCACTTAGAACAAAAAAGTTGGAATACTATCTAATTAATGAGGAAGTATCTAATAATAGTTGCAAATACACTAGTAAAAATATTGATTTTTACCTAGCAACTTAAGTAGTCAAAGGCAATAATGATATACTCATTGCTAGTAGTTAACCATAAAAAAAGCCCCAGTAGTTGACCATAAATCAAATGCCACAAACTCAAACAAATGGAAAATTACAATAAACTTCAACCATCTTTCCATAATATGAGGGGGAGTATTACAAGTTTGGCACCAAAACTACACATATACCAAATAAAATTATATTTTATATTTGACTAATAGAAAAATTTGCACAACTTATCAATCATATGATAACGTCCTATATGCTTGTGCAAATAGGAGAGTTATGGTAAATATAGAGAAAATGTGGAATTAATATTAAAGGCACCACTAGCCATTAATGATCATTATGATCCATTTTGATAAAATATGTCCTTAATGTAATATTAAAAATGTAAATGCCAAAAAAGCAAGTCATTTAAAAAGTGATGTAAGATTCTCAAACTTATCACAAAGTCTTTGAATCCATGGCACAACTTTGTAAACATCATAAACCTCATTAAGAGAAGGTAAATTTTGCTCCACAAATTATAGATACTAAATATCAAATATAATAACCATCAATAGCACAAAATCTTTTTCTAGAAAATCCACTAATGTTACAATAATAAGTTCATCAGAAATAAGAGAAGAGGGGCAAGTATTAGACTTAAATCTATGGTGATGAGTCTACTTCTATTTTAACCCTATATTTCTATGAGGAAAAAAAGCAAGTATGATTTTTAAGATGGTGCTAGCTATATTGTTGCAACATTGATATCAACCATATGAAGCAGTTTGAAGACACTATAGTGACTAAACTTCATATAATCTTTAAAGAATGGCTGACTACTAATAAAGTCATGCTCACCTCAAATAAGATTGAAAACCTTGAGAAATTTAATTTCAAACTTGAAAGGAGAGTTAGAGACATGAATGACAGAATCAAGATTATTCCCACAAATATGCACAAAAAAGTTAACAATAAAAGGCAAAGCAGTTAAATTTATTAGTACTATCTCTAAGAAGAAGTAAAGTAAAATAAACTTAGCTTAAACGCTTGAATGTGAGATTCTTTCCACAAAGCACATCACTGCACTTGTAAAAAAGTATATAGTTAAAACATAAAGTGAAAAGTACATAATTGCCATTCAAGATTTTCTTTTTTGCACATATCTAAACTTTACGAAAAAGCTAAGCCATGTGATTACTTTGTATAAGTTGTCTTATTTACAAGAACAAGATTTTGATGCCACAATAATGTGTGTTAATCTCCATGTCTTAGTAGTAATGGATTGTGAAGAATAATGTGAAAATCAATATAATAAAATCAAAAACAAGATTTTACATAGCAGCCATCAATTTCTAAAGCATGACTATTTTGAAAGCAGTGGGTTCCAGTGTTAGGCTTTATAACCTGGAAAATTTTGTAGCATCACAGAAAGGTCTCTCTTTCCAGTGATATTGGGCTTTGCTATCGAGAGTGCCATGATTTTCTTCAAGTCATGCAGCATGCTTTTGCTCCTCCTGGTTTATACTGTCACATGTGATGGATCTCAGGAGGTTTTGGATCGAAATACAGGGAGTTTTGGAGACGCCAAGAACTTTGGCTTTGGAATTCCCAAGAGCACGATCGATTTCTTCTGTTGGAGGCCATGGCTGAGAAGGCCCTGGTGGTTTCCAAATCGTTTGTGCCCTCCTAATGCACCTCCTTACTGCTACAAATCCCCACCACCACCGATGGAATTGCCAACACCACCGGTTGAATCACAACCTCCGCCAGTTGAATCGCCATCACCTCCTCACCATCAGAAATCTCCACCACCGCCAGTTGAATCGCCACCACCTCCTTACCAGTACAAGTCTCCACCACCACCACCACCACCACCAAAATGCGGGAAGACTCCACCTCCGCCGCCACCACCACCGAAATGCGAGAAATCTTCACCACCACCGCCACCCAAGTCTCCGCCGCCGCCACCACCAAAACGCGAGAAGTGTCCACCTCCATACGAATACAAATCTCCACCACCACCACCACCAAAATGTGAGAAATCTCCACCACCGCCAGCTCCATACGAGTACAAATCTCCACCACCACCACCGTCTTCACCTCCATCGCCACTATATAAATACGAGTCTCCACCACCACCAGCATATGAATACAAATGCGCACCACCACCGCCGCCACCACCCCATCACCAGCATGTGAAATCCCCACCTCCACCATCGCTACCAATCTACTGGTACCAATCTCCACCACCAGAATTAGTTAAAAAATGAATTTCTATCTTTGGCAACTTATAAACAAAGATAAATTGAACATAAGTAGTTTTGCACAGAACTTGAGAGCTTGTGATCTTTATCTGATATTCTACAAAGATGATGACAGAAACTTATATAGAAATTTGAGTCAAACACTGAGCTCGGAAAGTAGATTCACGAACACCGAATTCGCCACATAATTGCTCGCTCACCTGAGATTAGAACCGCAAGATGGAAAAACAGAGTGACAATCTCCATCTATGCAAATATCGAGGAGAATTCTCGTTGACACAGTTCCTACAAGGGGAAGTTACGTAATACGTTCTTATTTGACAAGAAAGCTCGTCTCACGTTATTCATTTCCCACGAGGTTTCACCAGAGTCATTAAGGCCGACTTCCGGAAGACCAAAAAGCGTGGCTGCTCGGTCGATCAATGCCTGGCCGGCCAGATTGCAACGCTTTTGTTGCTCACTCCACCCTGCTCGACGATGGCATCAATCTTGGCATCGCAATCTCGCAAAAAGCCTTCGCAAGCACCCGCTTTTTCCACAAGCGCTCTTAAAAACTCGCAAGCATACGAGCTGCTCGTTGGAGCTCTCACTCCGAGCACCGCTCCTGCGGGATTTAATGGCGAGCTCCTGGTATAAAATCGCAAACACGCACCTCTTCTCTCCTACGCTCCATGCACAGGAAGGCCAGCAACAATGCTTGCTTCGTTTGTGTTCTTCCTGGTCCTTCTTCTCACCACTTCAGGTATTGCCTCACCTGTAAAAGATGAAGTTTTAGAACTCCAGAAAGGAAAGAAAACTTACGAGATTGTTTGTACTTGCCAGGAGAAGTCGAATGCCGATCGAGGAAAAAGACGCATGACGAAGGAACTTCCAGCAGCAACAAAAAGTCTCCCTCGAGCTCCCTGTTCGAATCCAAAGTCGGTGTCAACTATGGCCGGATTGCCGACAACCTTCCCCCGCCAAACCAAGTCCTCCAGCTCCTCACATCCGCAACCGATATCCGCAAGGTCAAGCTCTTCGATGCGGAGCCATCGGTTCTAAGCGCCTTCTCCAACACAGACTTCTCGCTCGTCGTCTCCGCTCCAAACTACATGCTCTCCGATCTCGCCTCGGACCAATCCAAGGCTCTCAACTGGCTCACAAGCTCCGTCGCCAGCTTCTATCCCGCCACCAACATCACCCACATCGCCGTCGGCAACGAAGTCTTCTCGCAGACCGATGGAGCGCTCAAGGCCAACCTCCTCCCGGCCATGAAGAACGTCTACTCGGCCCTCGAGAAGCTCAAGCTCCACAAACGGATCAAAGTCTCCACGCCCCACGCCATGTCCGTCCTCAGCTCCTCCTTCCCTCCATCAAACGGCTCCTTCTCGGACACCACCAGAGCCTCCCTCATGCCACCGCTCCTCCAGTTCCTCAACGACACCGGCAATCCCTTCATGATCAACGTCTACCCCTTCTTCGCCTACTCGACCAGCCCAAAGTCGGTCTCGCTCGACTTCGTGCTCTTCCGCTCCACCAAAGGCGAGCTGGATCCCATGTCGGGCCTGAGCTACGCCAACATGTTTGACGCCCAGCTCGACGCCGTCCACTTCGCCATGCAGTCACTGGGCTTCGACCGCATACCTCTTCTCGTGTCCGAGACCGGCTGGCCATCCAGTGGTGACGACTCAGAGACCGGCGCTAGCGTGGAGAATGCCCGAGAGTACATCCGGAACCTCGTCAAGCACGTAACTTCCACCTCGGGCACCACCCCGGTGAGGCCGAGCTCTCCCACCGAGGTCTATATCTTCGCGCTCTTCAACGAGGACCAAAAGCCCGGCCCCAAGTCCGAGAGGAACTTCGGCCTCTTCCAGCCCAACGGGAGCCCCGTCTATAGCTCCGACGTCCTTCGCAGTGGCAGCAATGGCAGTGGTACCAGCGGCGCCGCCAGTAAGAGCAAGCGGAGGAAGAAGAGATCGATCAATCCCCCGCGGCAACACCACCACCACCAGAAGATGTATCGATCCTCGGCCAGCAGCGTCCGGCAGTGGTGCATTGCCAAGCCCGGCGCCGACGCCGCCGCTCTGGAGAAGGGGATAACCTTTGCCTGCGCCGAGGGAGGGATCGATTGCTCGCCGATCCAGAGCAACGGGAGCTGCTTCGATCCCCAGATCGCCTTCTCGCACGCCTCGTTCGTCTACAATAGCTACTTCCAGAAAATGGGGAGGAATTCGTGGAACTGCTACTTCCAGGACACGGCAATGATCACCATCACCGATCCAAGTAAGAGAAAACCCTATCCCGATTGATCGATGGCTAACCTCGTGGCAATGCAGGCTATGGATCTTGCCGGTACCTCTCCACATAAACCCTAAAACACATAATTTCACCTCATTTAAATGGAAAGGACCACAAAAGCCCTACATTCTTCCTCCTCCAAGGAAGCTGTTTGCGATCGTCTCATGCAGTGAAGATTTCGCGAGGCGCTTTGTTCCAGACGCAGGACGAGCCAGCGTTTTGTGGCATTCATGGAGATCCATTCCTTTCTGCCTTCCATTTCCCATTCCATGCTCGATGAAAACGAGATCATTCTTTGCGCAGAACGTGGAAAGAGGATTTGCTCTGCATGCAAGCCGAATGCTCGCCTGGAATGACCTGTGTTTGGAAAAACCAAGAAGTTTCAGTTCTTTTTAGTGTGAGCTGCCATTCCTACAGGACTACTAGTTCATTCTTTAACCTTTGAACTTCAAAAGAGCATTGCTGACAAGACGGATCACGGCCGCCACCCGTGGTGGTTTTCAGTTTCCAGCGATAGTAAAGAGAATCTACTTCAAGATGGACGACTTGGTGTGTTACATCTAGACGCCTACTACATCAATGCCAGTGTGTTTGGACTTCCATGGAAGCTTGCTCATGCGAGAGATGGCAACGAGCGCACCCCGACTCGGGCTTGCCCATAGATTTGGCAGGCTTGCAAGCATGTACTGCACAGAGGAAAGAATCAAGGAATAAAGGGCACTGTAGTTTTATTTTTTATTACTAGACATTCCCTTACGGAAGTTCAAAAATTCTGAGGTAGAACCCCACTAGGCTTTACAGTGGCTCAAATTGCTGAGGCTTTCGAGGGAGCTCGAGAGTTTTTGACGGTCCATTTAAGAACGGTGACTTTAGAAGAAGTGCAGTTTTATATTTCTCACAGTGGAGACTTGCCCAAAGTCATCGTATGTAATTCTCAAGTTTTTAGTGTATACATTGTTGCCAAGCTTTTAGCACTTAGAAATCCCGTCCAGAATTTCAAAGTCAACGTTGATACATAGGGTCAAGTGCTCCAAATGCTGCTCCTGCATGTTTGTGAGTCTTAATTGCTGATTCTATACGTATGTTCTTTGTTGATCATTACGGAAACCCTTTACTTCGTCAACCTTTTCCGTGCTCGGATCCATTATGCAACTATACACACACTAACAACTCCTGTAGCTACAACGAGGACACATTGATGGATCATACGGAAGACGCCCCGGGCGCAAGAGACTACATACACAATGTCTTTGAAAGTAGAAAAACTGCAACTTAATGCAGGTTTTGTTCTTTTACCTCGGATCTCGGAACTTTCGGAGATTGAAACATTATAAATTTGAACATTAAATCGTCGTTTTTACAGCTAAATCAAAGAAAATGATATGAAAAAAAACCATCACGAGTCTGAACTATTCTGCTGCTCTGCTCGATCAAACTTGTCACTGCTCTTGCTTCCTCTTTGCTTTTTGAAGCTGCTGCTGGGCGAACTTAAAACTTCGATTTTTCAAGCTGCTGTCCGTGCTTGGTTTAAGAAATTTTTCGTCTTTAAGCTGCTCAATCTTTGCTGCTCGATCTTAGCTGTTTCAGCCTGCTCCCTTTGTCTCCAAGTTTTAAAACCATCTTACGCTTTTCCATTCCAACTTGCTTGATTCTTATGATCTCTGACGCTTCGCTGCTTCAAGTCCTGCTCCACCCTCATTTACATATTCTTCTGGCGGCCTCCTATGATCTGGACCAAGTTGGCAGTCAGACTATTTTCCAAATAGAAAAGAAACATAATCTCTCAAGGTTATACTCACAAATTGGCCAGAATAAGCAGCTCCTTAGCGTAGTCTCTGAGATGTTTTATTTATTTAGTCTCGAAGAGACGGGCTCCTACGATCTGGACCAAGTTGGAGCTCAGAAGATATTCCACCAGACCAGAAAAGAAAAAAAGAAAAAAAATACCATAGGATTTGTTGCTGATACTAAAGGAGCTACCATCACAATTTGTGTGTCGCTGTAGCTTGCTTCTCACGGATGAAATGAATGGAAGAGCAAACTCTACGTACCCTCGGTCCAGATTGCTCGATTGTAAAGGTGGCCAATGAACCTCTGAATCGCCTAGTAACCTTTGCACCAGCTTCCACGTTCCATGAAACTCGTCCGATCTTCTGTCTTTATGACTGTTGCTTCGTCTTAGAGTTCGCTCCAGCTCTTGTAGTCTCCGCATGACAGAGGCGAACATCAGCCGTTTTTGAATCCGAACCTATGGCTCCACCGCCACAAGCAGCTTCTTCCAGTTCGAGATCATCTTGCCATCATCATCTTCTATCATCCAAGCACCTGTATGAGCTGGACAGCATTGAAGCTCTCGTCCCGTTTCCATCAACTAGAGAGCTTTGTCTTGATCCGTCTCGGCATCTCATCTTCTCCTTCATCTCGCTGTTCTCACGCCGACGTTTGATGGACTCTGCTCCACTTCCAGAGCCCGGGTGGCCGACTGCTTCGGCCACTTTCAACAGCTTCAGCTGCTTCATCTCGGCCACCCTCTCGAACAGCTCCGAAACTTTGGAGTCAAGGGAGGACGTGGAGACTGGTCTCTGGCGTTTTGGAGGCTTGCTACTGCTTCCCTGTGCTGCTCGAGCTGTCAGAGATTTCAATATACTTGGCTTGCACCTCTGTTCTGGATTTGACTCTCGAGACTTCTCGAACTTCCATTCTCGTTTCTTCAACGTGCTTAGAACCTCTGACAGTTAGGGAATGCTTCCGCCACTTCAGGCCTTGATCGTGCTGAGAAGCTCGAGTGGAAGCACGCAAAAACACAGCTTCCTGCGAAGCCAGATGCTCCTCCTTGTCGCATGTAGCGTCCATCTGGTCCGTCAAACCTCTGGAGCGCGGCGCTCCATGTGCTCTCTCATCGGTTTTCCTCGGCTTGTCTTCTTCATCCTTCAGAGCTCCTCGTTCAGTCTCCCCCCCCAAAGCTTTGCCTTGCATCCGGCACGTCTCTCTCTCCTAGAGCGCCTCAAGACCCGTGGTCCTCTCCATCAGCTGCCAGTTACTTGCTTCTCCAGGCTCGCCTTTGCGCTTCCTAACTCCGCCATCCTCTTCTCGACGTGCTCCTCGCCGAGAGCTCCACCTCGTGCAGCGGATTCGACTCCGTCAGCCATTATCCCCTGGGGCTTCTCCTTCAAGAACTCTGTCCGAACACTTCCCTCATTCCACCAGATGACAGAGAACGTCTAGCGTAGTCTGTCTTATAGTCTCCGCAGCCATCCGAAACCCCGGTCACGAGCAGCTTCAGCTATATCGTCCTCTTGCCATCTTGCAGCCATCTGACACTGGTTTCTGTTGTTCCTCGCTACTATCATGGACAGCCTTACCGCAGCAGGCGCTCTTGAATCATCTCCGTCCACTGGAAAGCCGATAAGATAGATCCCTCCTTGCTCCAGACACTGTAGAGTGTGGCTCAACTTGATCCATTGATCTTCTCTTGAGGTCTCTGGCCTGTTTAGACGCCGAAGTTAGCCAACGTGTGATGGACTTCTCCGCCTGGAGCCCCGAGACACGGTCGTCACCCGCCGCTTTCGCGTCTCAGACAGCTTCCGAAACTTTGGAGTCGAGTTCTCCAGAAGGTTGATCTTCTCTTGACTTAACTGGTCTCTAGCTTTAGTCGCCTGCTCCTGTGCTTCTCAACTTGCTTGGAGATTTGGCTCGCAGCTCCAACTTCTGGATTTGACTCTCGAGAGTTGGCTTCTCCGATGCTAGAGTCCGAGAACTGGCCTCGAGTTGACCAATCCTTACAGCCGACTTCTCGAGCTCGTAACTTCATTTCTCGTTTCTTCGACGTGCTTGCCATCAGCATCCTTCTTGAGTCCCTTGCAGAGCAATCTGACACAGAGTTCTTTCCTGATACTTTCACCCGAGCAGCTGTACGAGCATTCCTGGACAGCCCTGACGCGTTTTCAAAGTCTCCGTCAACTAGAGAGCTCTACCAGATGACAGAGAACGTCCAGCGCAGTCTGTCTTCTCTGTGAATCCGAATACCCCCACCGTCACGAGCAGCTTCAGCTATATCATATTCTCGCTATCACCATCTCGTTGCAGTCTTCAAGCTGTGAACATTTAGCTCCTGTCTCATCTCCGTCGACTGGAAAGCTGATAAAAGAGAAACCTCCTTGTTCCAGACACTGTAGAGTGTAGTCCCCCTTAATAGTCTTTGCAGCAAGGTGAACACCAGCCTCAGCTGCTTCTAGAGCGCTTTGATCAGAGTTCGCAAGCTGCATCCTCGCCGGTCTTCTCGCTTTGTGAGTTTCCTTGCAGCAATGTCGTCTTGATCCCTCGATGAGACTGCATCCTGGCCGATCATCTTCTCGCCATCATGGTTCCGACAAAACAAACACTCATCGTTCACTCCAACTCTCTACAACAAACACGGAAGTTTTTAGCAAACGGCCATCTGGAATCTGGAAGATATATCAAACTTACCTGTTTCCTCTTGAATTCGGCAACAAAATCTCTCCCCGCACGATCATATAGTTCTTTTGCCACCTTCACGAAGACCACCTCGCCGGACTCAAGCTTCTTCCACGGTTTCCTCTCACTCGGGATCCTATCCAGCATTTTCTGAAGCCTCATCATCTTCCGCGCTCGCTTGATCCTCTCTCGGTCGCTGGATTTGCCGTTGAGCTCCTCGTAAAGCTGCTCGGTGAGTCTGATCAGAATCCGGAGCGCGCTAACACTCCAAGACTTTTCCTCGTCTTCCTCTTCCGTTTCCTCGTACTTTTCCTCTTCCAAGCTGCGGATCTTCTTCTCAGTTTTTCCCCTCTGGTTTAGCCACCGGTTTGCCTTGTGGAAAGCTTCGAGATATGCGAACTCAACATATCCCCCTCGGCCATCGCTAAGATGGGTTTCACTCCGCCGTCGGGTGCCGTCGGGAAGAATGTCCTCCGCTGAGGAAGAGAAGCGAACCATCTTTGGCCTGGAACCTGCAAGTCCAGAAGTCCATCGTGAGTCACAGTAGAAGAAGAATGCGAGAAGCAAAATGAACCATACCTGGAGGACGACCTGCGGCTGGCAGTAGAATTGGCTTGGGTCGCTGCTCCTCCTGCTTGGGCTTGTCATTCTCCTGCTGCTTCATCTGATCCCCTTCTCGTTCCAGCGGCTGCTTGATCGGCTTGATCGTCTGCTCCTCCTCTTGTTCCAACTGCTGCTTCATCGGCTTCATCCGCTGCTGCTCCTCCTGTTCCAGCTCTTGCTTCATCGGCTTGATTGGCTTGATCGGCTGATTCGGCTGACTCTTCTCCTCTCGTTCCAGCTGCGGCTGCTCCTTCTGACCTTGCTCCTGTTTCACCTCGCGCCTGAGTTCCTTCGTCTGATCGGCTTCTTTCTCCTCCGCGTTCAGCTTCTCTTGCTCCTCCTCGTTCAGCTGCTCAGCTCTCTTCTCTTGCTCCTCCTCCTTCAGCTGCTTCTCGTTTTCCTCCTCTTGTTCCAGCTTCATCGGCTTCATCTGATCGGCTTCTTTCTCCTCCTCGTTCACCTGCTCGACTTTCTTTTCTTGCTCCTCCTTCAGTTTCTTCTCTTGATTCTCCTTGTTGTCCTCCTCTTGTTCCAGCTTGATCGGCTTCGTCGGCTTCATCGGATCCTCCTCCTTCAGCTGCTTGGCTTTCTTCTCTTGATTCTCCTCTTCGTCCTGGTGCTTGTCCTCCTCTTGTTCCAGCCTTATCGGCTTGATCGGCTCCTTGTGCCCTTGCTCCTGTCGTATTGCTTCTAAGACGATTTTCACCTCGCGCCTGAGTTCCTTCAACTTCAAGGCGGCCGCGTCCATGGCTTCTCCCGAGACTGCCTCAGCTTGGACCTTGTTGTCGCCCTTGTGCGCCTTTTTCGGTCGAAAGAGAGACCACAAACCTGTGACGCATCCACAGCGCTCCTGCTCTGTTCGCGCCATTGCTTGCCCTTTGCAAAATGCCTTTAATGCCCTAACCCTTACTAAATCTATTTCACATTAATGTATAAATTAGCAATTGCCCAGCGTTAGCAAACACTTCATAGTTCTTTAAAAATTAAGTTGGAATAGTATTAAAATAATTTGTTGTGTTTGAGGAAGTAACTAAAAACATGTAGAAAACTATCAGGCAATAGATACAACTATAGCTACAAAATCCCAATAGATTAAACATTATAAAATCAATTTCGTCCTACAATGCACTCTGGTGCTTATGAATGCTGGATCTAGCCACAAAAAAGTTTGAAAGACAAAGGAAATCCAATTGATGGGATTTTAGTATCTAGGCTTGCAAAACCTAAATTGGAATCACTCATTTCTGTATAGATCATTCAAGTGTGCAATCAACATTTCTGGGAGCTGGGCAGCACAAACACAAAAGATTGGGGGCAGGGCGTAAAAAGGGATGGTTTTCTAATTTCTCATCCCTGTTAAAAAGCTAGCATGACTTATTGTTGTTAGTTTATACTCAACATGGATAGCTAGTGTCAACTTGCTTGACATTTATTGTGAACTCAAAAATTCTTTTATATGTTATAGTTATAGTCTTGTTATGCCCAATTGAGAAGCATAGGTGTTAATATTGGCTGTGGCTCTACTTTTGTTGTGCTCCCAACTAAAGCATACCAAATTTTTCTGAGATCTATTACATTAATTTTTATTCTTAATGACAGATTTCTCTACTAGTTGCTGCCTTGGCAACTATAATGCTCCATGCCTTGCTTGCTAATTGTTTAGTGTGTGACATTTCCTATCACCTGTGTTGCTCCTGTTGAAGGTTTTAGCATCACCTCTAGAATCTTTTATAAGAGGTCAAAAAAGAATTAGAGAATCCATTAAGAAATAAGATCATCAATCTTGAGAACAAGACTGATTGCACTACAGGTGGCAAGGGTCGTTGCTAACAGCACCAACTTATAGGGTTGCTCAAGTTGGCAAGCAAATGGTCAGTCCTTAGGCCCAAGTGCTGGAAGGGGTCCACCATGTAGTGTACTAGAAGTGGGCACTCCAAAAATGAGGAGATGGAAGTCCTTGGTCAGAGCTTACCCTATCCCACGTGCTTAAGTGTGAAAAGAGGCCACTGAAGTAGTATATAATCCAGGTGAATGTTATATTTCATGGGGGTTTTATTTTGTGGAAGTTATATTGTTATGTAAGCTTTGTAATATCTGATCTATGGAAGTTAATAATTCTATTCTCACTTGAGGGGGCAGCCCTTTAGAAAGAAAGTGATCCCTTGTGGGGAAGTGGTAACATAGGTAGATGATATTATTCACTTTAAGGTGTTATAGAGGGGGCAGCCCCTCATAAGGAGATCCCTTTATAACAACTAAAGTAGTAAAAGAGCAAGTGCTCAAAGCTAACCTTAACCTTTCTACCAAGTTTACTGCAGTAGGAGATGGTGGTGCTTTGTGGTGTTTAATTTATTGTGAATAAACCTTGTTTTATGTATAAAGTTATTCCTATTAAAGATAATTGCAATTGAATTTTTAAGTGAAAAAATTTAGTTATGAGATCAGATACCACATTTATTGCAATAAATTTCATAGGAAGGCCAGGGTTGACCTTTGGCACTCATTCTTCAGCTGCTTTAGATACTATATATAACTCATAAGTGGCTAGCTCTATGAGATGCTCGCTTGTCTACTAGTGTATTGGATCAATTCACAACAAGTAGCTATTTCTCAATGGATTATCTAAGCCAAGAAAGAAGATTGATGATGGTAAAGAACATTCTACATAAACCACAGTGGTCCCTTTAATCTTAAATTTGCCCATTGGATTGTAGCATTAATTAATAAGATCTATTAGTGGTTAAGATTTGTCAATTAACCACAAAATATTCAAAGAGCATTATAAGAAATTAAAAAGATTGGTTTGAGTGATAGTCATTTGGAGTTCAAATATAGAGGGATAGTGAAAAATGCACTTTTTTCTAAATGGTTAAAGGTTTTAAATAGGGTTTGAGTAGTATTAAAAGGAAATTACATTATCAAGTCTAACTCTATTAGTTGGATAGACGACACATTATATATTGAAATTGATATCTAATAATTCAATTTCCTCTTATTAGGGATAGGGTAAAGAGAGTAAAGCTTTTGGGAGAGTTGTAGTTTTTAGCTTCATTTTATGAGGGTGTGCACTTGTAGGAAAGTGTAGTAGATTGTAAGCAAACAAAAACAAATGATTTAAGAGATATTGGGATTTAAATATAAAAGAAAAGAGCTCACAAATAAAAATGTACCCTTTTTTCCAATCAATTAAAGGTCTTAGATACATGGGTTTGAATAATACTAAAAGTAGTACTAAAGAGCTTATAAGTCAATGGGCATTGCCACAATAGCTATAAACCTTGCTTATATTCAAATTTTATTTTAGTTGTTTGATAGATCTTTAAAATAATTTGGTATTTTAATATTATTTCTTTTATGTGATAAATGATGATTATTGAAGCAATATATAACTTCCTCAAACACTTGTGTAACTTGTATCAACCAAAAACCTAGGCTCAGAAGATTCCGACCTTGAACCCAAGACTGCATCAGAGCCATAGATTAGATCATGCATAGCATATAACATATGCTGGCAGTTAGAACTACCAGCCTTTCAAAGGGGGGAATCCAAATCCCTTTTCCCTTTTTTTTTTCTTACTAAAAAAAGATTTCTAGCGAAGAGGAGTATCCACACCTCTTCATTTGGCGACCACGGCCTCTGAACTCCCCTTCAGGTTCACAAATTCTTCCATTCTTTCTCCATTCTTTGTGTAAATAGCAAGAATGATTCAGAAATCTACCCAACTCGCCAAAATTTGCACACATTTCACAACCCAATGCCACCACCAACATGGATCAATGGCGTCCAAGCAGTTGCCACCCAATGCAGTAGAGGCAGATGCTTCCCAGAGGAAATCTTTGAAGAATTTGAAAGCTCTCTCTCAACATCTTCGAGTCCAATCACTGACGAAGAACACCAACAACCCTCTTTGACAAGAAACTCCAATTGACCAGCACCTTCATCAGCGGATGCCCTCAGCCACTTCATTGGCGAACTCCATCTCCAAGCACAAGACCACACACTCCAAGCTCTAGAACTCAACCAATACACTCGACACGAACTAACACCACTGCCAAAATGAACCCCTCTTCCACGCAATCATCGACCAGGCAATCCTAGTGCTCTGACACGATTCCAGTTCCCACGCCCACTCCAAATACCGAAGCACATCCTCAAAACCTACACCAACAACAAACCCATCACACTGTTACCTGGTATCGAAGAACTTGTTGAGGGACTTCACAACACACCACCAATTTTTTGACAACCTCTGACAGAGTTAGCAGCTCAGCACCGAAACAATAGTCCAAACTCGGTTTGAAGTTAACACGTTTGCCACAACAACTCTCACCAATCACGCCATCACCCAAACCGGACTTGAACAACTCGACGATATTATCGAAAAAATCATTCCTTACAAACCCGAGTATCCCAAACTCTTCATCGAACTCCATCTTGGCACTAGCAAGTGGAAGACCAGTCTGCATACTGTGCCAGCCAACTCAACCCAACACAACTTGACTAACCACCACCCGACACAACCCAACCCAACATGGACCACCGTTGACAAAGAACAAGCTCAAGAAACAAGTCAACTAGATCTGTCATCACCGGATTCCTGACGACTTTATCGACAATCAACCTGCCAATAGTCTTCTTGAAGTTCTGCCAGAACTGCATGATCGACTGTAGACGCAAATCTGAAACTGACAACAAGTAGAAGAATGCATGTATCCAAAACCAAGAAGAACATCCAGCAAGTCGGAAGAAGACCAACAATGGCTTATCCAACATTTAGATAGAGATTTGAAGAATTTAGAAACAAAGAGAAAGAAAGACCAAGATAAGTTGAATCAAGTTATTAGAACCTCCAAGAGAGAGAATTACATCCGACACGAATTGTTACCGCAAGCTAACTCCGACGAACCAGTCTCGGACATCCACAAAGAATACGACGACTACACAACACCATCGGACACACCACCGGCAGCACCCTCAATGGCACCCACTGAAGTGCTCGACCTGAACCAACACCCTTGACGGCACCCACCGAAGTGCCCGAGCCCGACTGAACATTTGAGCAGTTGACACAAACTACGCCCGAGCAACAAAACATTTTTCAAGCAACATACAACCACTTCAAAGGTACATTCACCAACCCCATCTATGGTGACGATGAACGACCAAGTTTCCTGCCCAGCTTCACAGACTTCACCAGATCGACACCATTTTCGCTATACCGACCGATCTTCACAACACCAATATATCCCACATTTGCGTCTAACATCTATTGAAGCCCGCTATCAGCAAGACCTTTCGAACACGCTTTCGACTTCAATGTGCCAATAAGACAACAACTTGTTTGACAATTTAGAAGAACAACCACAACCAATACAACATAACTCTAACAAGTACATCCACAACAAGTTCAAGCAGCATCTTCCAGAGATCAACACCGGCAAGCAGCCCGATGCTGACGACAGACCCGAAAACAGTCCCAACACAAAAGACAAAACAGAGGAGAGTAAACTAAACAACAGCAACAATTCCCCAGCTTCCTCCTACACTGACTTTGCTGTCGACCCCAACAACCCTTGCTACAAATCACCTTCGGACTCCATGGTGAGAACCCGACAAAACAACCTCGACAATACCGACATCACTACCAACAGCAAATGGCAGTCACTACCGCCGTCGCTAATATACCTATCGAAAGACACGTCTCCTATCCACTATTTCATGGTCTGAAGTCAGAAGATGCTGAGAAACATGTCAAACAGTTCCAAGAAGCAATCCGCATCAACGGCCAGACAACTGAACTCCCATACTACTTTCGATGTACCCTTCAAAAGAGAGCCAACGAATGGGCTCAAATGCTTCCTCAAAAT